AACGCGGCAACGGCCTATATTTCGAGGAGTGAAAACCGTAGTCGTTTATATTCTGCCCCTGTAATACTTCTAGCAGAAATTCAACGATACTTAGTAGTTGCCTCTGTGGTACATCTAACGCAATTCCGTAATAATTCCCACTACATATATAGGATTTTGCGACCTGTTCAGGTATTTATTGATCGTCGTCTCGCTATGTATTATGCCAAACATAGTATCAAACAGCCCTTTTGAAATAAAAAAAATGAGTTATCAATCAATCTATTAAGAGTTAAACGAAGAAAAGTGTTTTTTTCTAGTTAGTCATCGGGCACTATAAAACGAGTGATAATCTATGTATCTAATTCCAGCCAGTGTCAAACGTCCTTTTGCTAGACAGGCATGTCTAAGAAAACTATATGCTCTGACCTGTAAAGTGGGCACGCCTACTTAGTGACCGTTCGGCCGATGAGTCGTGGTATTTAAATAAACTAATGTCCACGCCATGGTAGCAGCAGCCTGTTGGAGGACCTTTCAGAAAATATGCGGTTCAGGTGGGTGGATAAGTCACTTTACACCATAACCAATGCGGTCTCCATATTGCTATATACAAGGCGAGAGAGAGTAGTAATCCTTTCCATTGTATTCGGGTGTATCGTATATATATTTAACTCGGTCATTTCCGGAAGAGTAAATTTATTTTGTATATTTAATACCGGATTCCCCTGTCTTTGTAGAAGAGCTTGACTTATATGAGCATAAAGCGTGAAATCAAACATCAGTCTTCTGTCTTCCCACCGCAATTGCTGTTGAACGTTGCCCTGGGATGACTGTTGACCGATGAGCGGAGGTGACTGTTGACTTCCATTACTACCTTAGGGGGTAATAATAACAACGTGTCCTATAGGTCTACAACCCGAATAGGTTTCACTGCACTTGGGATTATCCGCGCGCTCTTCTGGTGTTCTAACTGGGGGATGGTATTTGGTGAATACTACGATACCTCCGTTCGCGAACCGCCTGTCACAATTCGCCATGTGATAGGTTTCTTTTTCAACAGCCACCTGCAGGATACATGTACCCACGGGTGTTCACCGTTAACTTTTTGGTAACCTATTGCACAAAGTTCATGGTGCAAGCTGCTCGTTTGGAGAGCACCCGAAAACCCCCGGTTAGCGGCCTTGTCTCGCCTTAACCATTTCCACCAATGGGTCAAGTCGTTCTTCGAACCCGAGTATCTATACAAAATGCAAAGCCTGCTGGCCGCTTTTGAACTCATCTCCTTGTATCTCAAATCTTTATTCAGCGATGGCAAGGGTTTCCATAATCACATATTCTTCCAGCTAAAGTACATATGCTTTCAACTCAAAACGTCCCCTTTGCCTACGAGAGGGGGGGTATGCTCAACCAAAACACCCAGGATCCTCTGCAACATTGCCTATTTACAAAGAGAGAGGTCGTAGTACCTCCTGCAGGTTCCTTGTGGTTCACGATGAGGGTGATTTTGTGCTGGCTAGCGGTTTCGGAAGAGGAATAAACGTTTATCCGATCACAGAACGGAGATTGCGCATACGGGAAGCTGGGGGATGAGATATATATTACCTGCGTTGAAGAGTCATTGTTACCCGTGATCCTGTCCTCGCCTGGAGTCCTTCATCGCGATCCTCTCACCGGAGCATCATAACGTGAGGTTAGCGGAGAAGGAAGGAAGGTAGATCCCGCTAGGCTAGGCGCACCCTTAACACCATACGGACCCGCAGATCATATTGTGCCCCGCAAGAAAAGAAAACAGGGGATAGGTCACCCACCTTGACGTGAAAGAGACGATGGAGGACGAGGTACCTAGCTTGGTAGGAATTTGGTCCCTTAAGTCGTTCCGCGGGTAGTGCTAAACATTGCAAGATCATGTTCCTTACATAGTTTAAATACAATTCTTCCATCAGCTTGAAACTCTTGTAAGGGTTGGGCGACATACCTGCTTGAACGTTGCAGTGCTTGCTTAACCGGTTAAGCGAAAATGGCCGTAGATCAGACAGCCACCGAGGCGGTAGTAGGTGGCATTCTTGTTAATCCCATTCTAGCAGCAAGTGGGAGGAGAGCTGGGAGTAGGTGGGTGAAGCTGGAGGTAATGGGTAGGAATGTGGGACGGAGGAAGGCAGACAAAGAGGCTCTGTTGAGGGGTCTGCCTCGCCAAGGAAACCCAGGTGGTATAGGATAAGGGTACTGCCCTGGATCCTCACCAGTTTCGTCTAGACTTCTCGGGCTTTGGACCTCATCAACCATCTGAAGCTCTCCCTATAGACTCTCTCTGTCCCCTCCATCTGTGAGCTCTCACCCATCACCGTGCCCTACCTCTATCGCGGAGCTCTCTTCTATCTTGGTCTATGTTTTGAAGATAGACACGTAAGAAAGGCCTTGAGAGCCTCACTCACACGCAGCAACGAAACCAAGACCGATCGATTACCCCCCCCCCACAACTCCCAGCGCCACCTCATCCGCATCCACATCCGTATCCTTCACTGAGGCCCTCCCGCGTAGCCCTGCCGGAGGTGTCCGCAATGAGGGGACAGCACACGCCACGGCGTCCCGCTACCAGCGCGACGGCACCTAGCATCGCGATAGGGCTTAACGTCGTGCACAGCTTCCCGCAGTACACGCAGAGTGGCGGCGGGTTGAGCAGATGTTCTTGCCGCCCTGAAAAGCGGAGATAATGCCTTTCCCCCCTCCTCCTCCTCACCACCCCTTCCCGCCCTAACGGCCGCGCGCGGTTATCTGATAGATTCGCTCCGTCTTCACACCCGAGATACGCACCGACCGAGAGCAGGGGCGCGGCGCTGATGGATGGGGTGCTTGGGAGGCCGGGGGTATTCTGCGATGGGGGTTGAGGGCTTGGTGGGGGCTTGTTCGAAGGTTGGCTTTTCGGGTGGTGGGGAATTGTGCGGGTGGAGGATGGGAGCTTGTCATGTACTCATGTAGAGACCTGTACCTGTCGTCAGTGCGGTCCCCTAGGTGGGTTGAGGTTGGAATGGTGGCGCGTCCCCAGTCCGTGAATCCTTGAGCTTGTCTCGAGCTCAAAGATATTTGCAGTAGTTCATCTTGACTACATATCCATACATCTATACCCAGCTTTCCCCCGACCCTCCCTAACCCCCGGGACAACATTGAACTCTCTAATCATATACCCTAGCTCATATGTGTCTCCCTATCAGGACTGCGTGTTCGTGCTAGCGGTGCGAAGCCTCCAGCCACATAGATGTCCCGAGTAAACGGTGGTTCTGTATGTGGAGCTTATCAGGTTGTAGTTGAATTAATGTATAAGCCATAAGCTTCATCCGCTATCAACGAGGGTAATCATAATCTGTGGTGGTAGTTAAGTTTGTCGATACTAAGGAATTACGTGTTGGGGAAATGGGCTCTCGGCCAGTTCATCCAATGTGGCGGCCTCTGACCCTTCCTTGCCCGTTAGCTGTTCTGTACGTAGTTAGGAAAAGGCTATTAAGGAGGTTTCGTGTTTAGATGTAAATCATAGCTGTTGCTTTATCAGTTAGATCTAATAAGGGTAATACAGGCATTATTACTTCTGGATGACTACTTTATTTAGTGCTTGGAAAATTTTGTCTTTTTAATTTGGGCATGCTTATCAATCATGGTACTCTTTTTATTGTTATACTGGATAGGTAGGGTATCTCTTCATATCCACTTTTCGTCCTGATTGTTATACTATATCTTCGTTTCTTAATATGTGATATTGTTGTTTTGTACTCTTACATTCTTGAACTTTCAAAATATACATATAAACATTATCAGCTCGGGTTGAAGTTTAGCTCCTCGTCTAGTCATGATGCTTTAAACATCCTACGTCGTACATTCAAAAATATTTATAGACAGTACTGAGTCCAGCGCCGCTCAACACCGTTTCTGGATTGCACGATTCGCACATCCCGCATGATGCAAACAGAATATTGAAATTCAATAATCCGGAGCCGTATACTTAATTCATACTGGATTACAGAGAATATTTTACAGTATTCGAACACGTGTGATTCCAGCATCATAGGGCGCGTTGGGATGGTTCCGGTCCACTATTCTCCTCCTCGATTGCCCAAAATCTGGCGCATGAGCCAAGAAAGTATTGGGACCGCACGCAACTTTGATTGGCTGAGCAGGAAATTACTGCGTTCTCCCTTCCCTCTGGCTTGCTGTCGGTACTGTTGAGATTTCAATGCTGGCAGGGACTCAGAGCAGACGACATGGGATATTACTCAGCCCAGCGCGCACCCCCTCCCCAATGGGCAAGTTTGTTACTTCGTTCATTAATCCTATCCTATGCAACCCAGAGGGTAGGACACTATTTTATAGTCGACTTCGCACTTGCAGGGAGTTACATATAAATCCCCGGATTGGTTTCTTTTTATGAGTTTGTCTGTAGCGACGTGTTCTTTATTTCGTAGAATTCATGTTTGCCAGGGGCCAGCTTCTGGCATTCCCGGAACCTCCACTCAATCAATTCTACATATTTCTTAGACATCAGTGGAACCCGAACACCATTGGTGTTCACTTGATGAAAGGCAAAACCAGATCTCCTTTTATTGAATAGTCTAACCCCCTCATCATAATATGAGCCTTTTCAAAGGTTTGCCCTATCCATGCATCTTGACGAATAGATCGCACACTTGCCCAAATCATCGTCGTGGTCAACGGATTAGAAGAACAAAGGTTAGCGACACGATAATAGTGTCCCTGTTATTGGACCTCAATCCAAACAGAGACCCCAACGATATGTGGTACGCGACGAAGTTGTACTTTCACCTACACTCGGTAGAGGTTTTCTTCACAAGGTGATATGTAAAAACGCAATCTCGTACAGGGAAAAAACGACGAGTATGTCAAGAGGCTACAGGACGTACTCAGTCCTTTTCTCCTGGTAGAAACAATCATCGAACGAAACGGAGACACCTATTAACGTACCATCAGTTCACTCTTGCTCGCTGTCGGGTACTACGGTGAACCTCAAAACCAGAATGTTCACCCTGGGGGGCCTGAAGAGAACGAGGGCAACAAGAACGGCCGAGATAAGACGCCTAGAAAACGAGCGGAAAAAAATAATACATCGCATCAAAGGCGCGACAACGGTGGGGCCACAAGTCATGATGAACATGGAAACCGAGGCGAGAAACAGGGGAAAAGACTGCCTCATTGCCCAATCCATCCAAGCAAAGTGGGAACAATGCGAGGGGGGAGCAGACGCCTATGAATACGCGGTGAAAGCTTTGATAGAAGATGATGAGACACATATAAAAACATCTAGGAAAATATGAAACTTACTTCAAAAACAGAAACGGGGGGGAAGAAAAAGAGGAATGACAATGGGACGAAGCGACACGGAAGAGGAAATCAAGGTGAAAAGAGTGGGGACAGCGGGGATGAGGATAGGACCATCAAGGGAGACAACGTCGGAGACTCCGACGAATGAGAAGGAGATCAGGACCTTTGTCGTCGAGCGGTCGAGTGCAACGATCCCTCAAACCCCATCGGATACGATCGATAAGGCGGAGCTGTAGGAACTGGCCGCGAAAGATGTCGCGAAAGTGTTCGCAAAGACGGAGAGAAAATTCAGGCCCCCGGAAGAAACAATCGAGGCGTCGAATGGTGAGAACAGGACTTGTGCGAGAAAGGGGTAGTCGGGAAAAGGATTAGTAAACAGCAAAATATACTATCACCGCCGGCTCCAGTAAAAGGAAACGGGGTAAAGTAAAACGGGTGGCGATCTAGAGATACGGAAACGTTAAGAGACCAGAGAAGATCTAAGAAGAACAACAACTAATGTAATAACAGCACCGAGAACGCTGCGACTGCGACATCTGCGGAGTGAAAATGCTCGAAAAGCAGGCGCCGGAGGAAATGATTGAATGGCCAGACCGGGATTGCGTGGTGAGATACGTCGCGCATCGGGCATGGGAAAAAAATAATAACGCTAGCGATATATGGACAGAGATCGAACTCGGAGAAAGGAACATTGATCCAGAAGGGGAGGAATTCGAAGAAGAAATTCCACTGGGACACAGCGTGGGAACAACTAGGCGAAGAAAGGAAAAAACTCTTCAGTAGATACGACGAAGTCTACAGCCTAAAGAGTAACGGAACCGTGCAAGGACTTCGAAAGAGATGGAAAGCCGACGGAGGTATAGCGCACATAAACAACTACTAATGTGAGTAGTACACGGTTCTACCAGAGTATCTTCCGGACGACGAATTTGACGAACACAGTGACAGACGCTGCCGAGAATAAAGAGAAAGAGCAGGAAACAGCCCGAGTCGACTAGAGCTTTTTTTAATATACACACTTGACTCGACTGGGCTCGCAGCGAGTGAGACATCTTGGTGGCATAGGTAGATCTAGGTCTAAGGCGGTAACATCTACAGACCTGTTTGTTACCCGCAGGTGCAGGTGGCGTGGGCGGGTTTTACGCCGCAGTCGTAAGGTACGTCACGTTACCGGCGTGGCAACATCTCCCAGCAGAACGCCTAAAAGAGTTCGCTATTAGCAGTTAACCGCTGCCAGCCCTGCAAACGACAGAAGAGCTGTTCAACGCTCACTACAAGACCCCTTCTCATTGAACAGACACCCCGAGTGACAGCGCGTGACGCGGGTATGCCAAGCGGCGAGTACTGGCGGTGGAGAGTAGGATTAGTACCGTAAGTTAGTGCTTTGGGTTTCTTTATACGGTGAGGAGTGTTGGATATGAATACCCCGCGAGCACAGGACACGGTAAGAATGTTTACCCCCACCTATCCCCTGAACCAGGAGGTATACTAGCGAGTGATAGTCCATGCCGCACATGTTACATGCGGTGGTTTTCTCGCCAACTCACCAACGGACCGACTGACGCGATAAGACAGGCATGATAGGAGACAGAGCAGAGCGGAACCTGAAGGCCCGCCAGTACCCAAGCTACGCTCATGACATGACGGCGGTGGGTGTTTGACGCCAAGACGCCAAGCTCCACCTCCCGGTTCATGAGGCATGCCTGTCCTTTGTAAATATGCTCGACTGACCGCCGTTTTGCGTTACGTTTCTCGCACGCAGATGTGCAGTGCAGCACACCATGGTATACGGGAGGTCGACCCAACAGGTAGATATGCATTCTGCACAATCGACAAGATCTCGGGAAATCTTCCCGGATCCCACTTATCCTTGAAGCCGTAGCACACCGCCAGTGAGGCGGAAAGAAAAGGTGTTCTGTTGCTGCCCACCCTCCGACGACGGCTGTATTCGATCGAGTGTGTGAATCCCGGGGTGATACCGCGCTAATGTACGGTCCTCGAGTTTTGACAGCAGAGCCACTTTCTTAGCGCTAAGGATAGTAGCGGGACATAGCTAGCGAAGGTAAGTGAGACGCTATCCCGAGTGATGAAGCATGCTGCGACTGCGACTGCGACTGCGACTGCGACTGGGGAGTGGGTGTGGAGGGTGGAGGGCAAGCGAACTTTATACTCGGGGGTCTTGGCGAACTGTGTCCAAGGCCTCCATCAGTGCCGGAAGTATGTAGTGCCGAGGGGTGACGGTGCGGGTGGATTTGGTTTGGTTTAGTTGTGCAGTGCTGCGCATCATGGGTAAGATAGGAACATGTAGGTAGGTAAGTGTATGTGCTACCTGCATGGGGAGCTCGTATTGCTGGGGAGCGGAGTGTCTCATGCCGTGGGAGACAAACTTCTCCGCCGGTGTGGGTGTGCGGTTTCCCCGCTGTTGGGTGAGTGGTAGTCAATGGTGCGCCTGTTATCTCCGGGGCATTTGTCCGAGGCTGGGGTAAATAATTGATATCGATGGCCTCGATCGATATCTATGAGCTGCATTCCAGTTAAAGTGGATACCCGCCCTCGCCGATGGACGCAACCCGCGATTGTGGTCGGTGGTCTTGACCCGAAGCTATCCCGGAAGCCTTTTGGGGTGTAGCACCTGCGGGTTGCGTTATGTTTCGGTGGTATATGTATGGGTGTGTATTGGAAGGTAGGTCAAGCCCCGCCCTCAAGGCAAGTATCCATCACCGGTGTTACTGCGCATGCGACCTGCAGGGAGAACAAACATGTCCGCTCTCCAGAGGGCAGGTACGTCAGAAATCAAACACCCCCCCCCCCCTCCCCTCCTCCACCGAACACCCGCGGACCTGGGGGTGCGCTTGTATTTCTCTAGTTGAAACCCCAACCCCACCCCACCCCCGTCGCTGGAGAACATCGAGTGACAGAACATGACGCGGCGGTGTCAGCCGTCCGTTGCCAACGGTGAGCCAGAGCAGAAAGTGCGCCCACAGTGGGGGGGGGGGGGGTGTCTTGGTCGCTATCCCCACGGCCAAACAGCGGAGTGTAACTCTTGGTAGCAAGTGTCACGTCGTATTTACACTCCGCCCCCGTCCCTACGCCGGCGGGGCAGAAGCGGAAGAGGTAAGGAAGTGGCTGAAAGGAAGGGCAGGGCAGGTAGGAGGCTGTACGCGCTCCGGCCAGGCTAGATGCTGCAACTGCGAAGGTGAAAAATGTATGTGTGCGACGAATGTGCTCGAGGGTTATGTACATCGACAGGTAATAAGTGATAGAACGCCCTGAGAGTAAAAACACCAAATGTTAGTGGCGTTTTACCAAAACAGGTATTGCTCTGTTCCATCACTTAATACCCACCGCTGTACGACGCGCGCGGGGGTCTTGGCAGATGGCATCCTGGGGGGGGTTTCTCCAGCTAAAGAATACATCAATCAGCTTACGGTCCCAGATTTCTTCGGGTTATGCATGCAGTGTTTGCAGCGAACCATACATTATATGCATGAATCATAGTGGAAAATGTAAATACAAAAACAAGGACCCAATGAAAATTCACAGAGACAGCAAAGGCAGCCTTCCCCGGGAAAAGGGGGAACTTCGCTAATGGTGTAGGGCAACCCTCTGCTCCTCCTACTTGAAAAAACAGAGGAATGGATCCCGAACCATCCGGGGATGGCCTGTTCCCCAATAGATCAAAATTATATGCGTCCGATAAAAAAAGCGTGGATTTGAATTGATACATACTTACCACAAGACATGAGGCTTCTGCAGTCGATCTCCTCCGTCCAGCACGCCTCCCTAGATCACAAGGTGGTATTGCACAGAGTTGTACCGCACCTGTGGGAATATTCAGATCGTGAGCGCTGGCTATCCATCCGGCCAACCATATCGCTGGTCGACCCTGCAATCGCCTTGTGGACTATCACTCGTCGACAACGGTGGCCAGAGGCGGACTACATTTTTCGAAACGTGGAGTATTCCACTTCATACAAGTTGGTACATTAATCGTGATGTTCGGGTATGCCGGTTTCTAAGAGTCAAATCATGACGGCTGGATTCGCTGGTTTCGCTTGATGTGCTGGTGGGTCTAGACTTCGGACGATTGGGAGATAGCCCACGGAATTGTTGGAGTATCGGGGTAAGGGGGGATGGCAGAGTGTGTGTGTGTGTGTGTGTGTGAAGTCATTTAATTTCTAGTTTCTAGGTACAGAATGGTCGCATGCAGTATAAAGTATGGCGTAAAGAAACCTAACCCCGATCCAGCTTGAACACATCACCAAAAAGAAAAAAAGAAAAATCAAGCGAAAATAAATTTATAGAAATTAAGTTAACTGCGTGACGATGAAGAAGATCGAGAGGAGGGGCAGGGGGGAATCATTGGTTTCCGGCGACAGTGGTGGGTCAGACCTGTTGTCCTATATAGGTCTTGATTTAGTTCGTGTAGATTGCAGGGGTCGGTCCCACAAGTGAACATGAAGAGGATGTAGTAGGTATTGAAGTAAGAATTGACATGGCTGTTGAGCATGTCATGAGGGGTGAAGGGCCAACGCTCCTATAATAGTCAATTCTTGTGATTGTAATAAATGCAACTAGTGCTATGCTGAGGTTTTGAGTATTCCAGATATTATTCAGTTATAAGGTAATTTGTAGGGGCAATGTCGGTGCTGGTCTAGCATGGGCATCGCAGGATGGTGTGTTCAAGTGTTTCTTCTGCCGGATTAAATCGTTCTAATATAGGGGGAGGTGGGTGGTGATGCAGGTTTTCTATGCTTTGAGGTAGCTCTTGCCTAATCCATTTGATAGATGCTGGTTGGAATCAATTTGTTTAGGTTATTGGAGGGGAATGGAGACATGGTGAGTATGTGAGAGTAGTATTTTAGAAGTCAATGATAGAGGTGTCAATTCATTAGGAGTTGTGTTTTCACTTATTGGTTTACCCTTGTTGGGGTAATTCCTTCCAATATCAAGGGAAGCAAGAGTCCGGTGGGGAATTTGAGTGTGAGGTGGGAGACTTGGACGCCTTTTACGACAGTTAAGTTCCCTTGTTCTTTTGCTGGGGGGGTTAGTGAGTCTTCTAACAAGTTCGGTGTGCAAATAAACTCAGTGGTTTGAAATAGTTCGGAAATAGGGGCTAGTGTTGCCAATGACAGGGTTTTTGAAGGGGGTGGCACTTAGGATTCCTATTGTGTATTTGTATTTGAGGTAACAGAGGTTGAGGTTGAGAGAGGAGGTGTTTGCTTCTGCCCATTGG